GGGCTGCAAGAACTTCGCGCTTCCCTCTCAGCCTAGAGGTGAGAGCAACGAGCAGAAGTTACACCATGTAATTATGGTTATTATGTCAGTTAATAGAGCTCCTCATAGCACAAACACTGTTAGCACTACTCACTGCTGGGAACAGCTGTGGCTCCAGCTCTGCTCTTGCTGTTGGAGGCTTGGCACAGATCTGAGTCCAAGTCCAGATCTGAAGAGCAAAGCCCAAATCCTGCCAGCTTGCACATGGGGCCAAATCTTTCCCTGGGCTTGGGGAAACCTCTGGGTTTTGGAGTTCAAGTGTGATTAGTGTAATGTTATGCTGAAATGTGTGATCCAAGCAGACAGTGTTCAGACTTCAGGTCTACCAGCTTTCCTCCTGGAGTCAGTCCATTGCCTTGACTACCAAAAAAACAAAAAAAGCTTTTAAGCAATTGAGTGTAATCTCCAGGTTTGAGTACTACAGGTTTACATTCAAAGCCTCACTCTTATCATGTATTTTGCCCATCCAAATGGCAGGAGATATTCTAGTGCTGTCTCTTTCTCTCTCCCTTCTGTCTTGACAAAAAACTGCTGTCATTCTATTTTGATAGTCTGCTTTTAGAAAGATGAAATACACACACATTTATACAATAGTTTTAAGAGAAGTCCTTCAGTATAGGGAAAAAAAAAAAGAACCAGAGGTGGCAAAGTTGTGACAGAACTTGGATTTAGTTAATTGGATCTACTTATTTGCACCATTTTTTACTAACTGCCTGTGTCAGTCCCGGGCTGAGAAAGCAATTTAACTCATTGCCTGTGAAAAATGAAATGACAGCAGCTACTCGAGTGAACTTTCACATTAATGAAGCATGATCTGGTCTTGATCAAAGACCTTATGCTCCTGGAGGACCAGAGTTCAAGCACCAGCCTCTAATTTCAAGAGAAGAAAAAGTTTATGTGTCATTGCAAGGTAAACTTCAGAGTTTGAGGCCAAGGTAAATTTTCATGCCAGCACTGTTAGTGACCCTATACTGAATCTTGATTTGATCATCTCTTCCTTTAATTCTCACTGTCATGTGCTGCCTCCTGCTAAACTGAACTGGCTTCGTGCATTTAAGCAGTGAGAAGTGATGTTATCACCAATCATTCCTGCCAGGAACTTGTGGATCACGTCATGCATCTTGCAGGTTGTACCAACAAAACAAGCTCTGAGGAGCAGGGTTGGGATCCAAGAGAGGCAAGACACCAGCCTTGGGTGGCAACAAGCCATAAAATTGTCCTTGCAGATCTGGTGTAACCAGAACAACTAATAAACCTCTGGAATGCTGATGCTGTGGTTGGTCTGGTCATACCAGAGAAACCATCTCTTGCAACTGGGATGGCAGGAGGCAAATCATGAGCAGCTAATAGCAGAGGCCACTGCTAGAGCTGTATTAATGTGGCTGTTGCTGTGCTGAATAATCACTGAGACTTTGTACACTTGGTACACTCTCTCCACAACACACCTGCTGGAAACCTTTTAAGCATTTGGCATCATGATAATGGTGTTGGGTGTAAAGCCACCATGAAAGTTATTAGAAGACAAATCTTGCTACAAATGGATTTGTAGCCCTGCAAATAGGAGTGGAGGAGTGAATGAAAAATGTCAAATGCATGGATGGTCAAAAAGAGCAAAGGTCCATCCTTTTCTATTTTGCTGCCTCCAACCTTCAGCATGCCCCAGAAGTCAAATGCATCCTTCCCAAAGCCTGACAGAATTGCCATTGTTGTCCATCCAGTGGGGTGCTCCTCTGGGGTGCTCTGCAGATCACCAGGGCTCCTCCTCAATGCTGGTTCTTGCTCTGAAAGCCAAGGCATCTGTGAAAAGCAGCTGTAGATCCTGGGTGGTTAGAAGTTAATTGGAAGGTCTAGTCTGCAAATCAATTCATAGAGAGATATTTTTGCAGGAAGCAGGAGCCAGAAACTCAGCTCACGCTGAAGATGAAGGGTGCCCTGAGCCCAGGGCTCGTGTGAGTTCCTGGCTGTGCCCCAGGAGCGTGGGGTCACCTAAGGTGAATCATCTGGGGCTGCTTCCCGAGCTGTAAAGCAGGATAATACTTCTGTTCTCACCTCAGTTTGTCTTCTCTGTTTAGATTTCAAGCTCCTCAGGGCTGTGTCTGATACATGTATGTACAGTTCCTAGCTTAATAGAGTCATGATCCAAACTGAAGCCTCCAGGCACTCCTGGATATTATATCATTGCTAATTTCACAAGAGGTTGCAATCAAATTCCTGTATAGGAAAAAAAAACCCTGAAAAATCCCAGAAAGGAATAAAGGAAGCTATTAAAAACTAAGGAACATCTTTGCTGAAGTGGAAATAATGGTACTTTGTCCCAAAATGTATAAAATATGTATTGCAATTAAATTTTCTATTGGCAAATTGCTCTACAATTAAAAAACACAGAAGCTTGAGTGAGGCAATTAGAATAATAGTAGAGTGTTAATTACAGCTTGATGGATTCTGCATGCTGTCAGCAATTAGCTTCCAAGTGTGCACTTCTGAACCAACTCCAAATCCACAAAAAGACACCGGCAGAATTAGAAGTATCTTCCGTGTTGGCATGCCTTTGCCATTTTAAAATTTGTTTTCATAAATACTTTTATAAGCTATTTAATTAGATTTAATGAGGTTTGAGGAAGAAACATCCTCCATACTGCACACGGACTCCAGCACAGGCATTGACTTGGAGACGAGGGAGAGCACAACTGAGAAGAGTCTCATTTCCCTCCAGCTGCCCTTATTCTTTGGGCATGGATATTTTGTGCACATCTGAGGTGATTGGACCCAGGTTCCAGCAGAGTTGCTTCTAGCTTTCTGTTTTATAAAGGTTATATAAAGCTTTTGGATCTCCCTCTCTCCCCCGCCATGGGAAACCCCATATTTACCCTCTTACCCTAATATTAAAAAAATATTAGCATGAATTGTTAAAGTTATTTGAAAAACCTGGTTGTCAAATCTGAAAACACTGTAAAAGAAGCAAAAGGTCTCTTTATTTCTATGACACCATCCCTACTGAGCAGAACTCCTGTCCATAAAAGTGCTTTTGGGTCCAGCAGAAGACTTGATTGCTGTGTCAGGCAGCTGGCTGAGTAAGCTAGAAAATCTCTGGACATTGTGTCAAATAAAACTCATGGTTCCATTGACCAACCTGAAAGAAATCTAGAAGAAAAGGAGAATAGGCAGGGGGTGAGAATATCCTCATCCAGAGTGATAGCTTCCCAAAAATGTGTCTCTTCTCACATCATCTAGGTAGCATTTTATCACCGTGATCACTGATGCTGATGGTCTAGAAAGACCTTGCAAGATTTTTGCCCAGTTTTGGGACTACTGGCAGGAATGCTGACACCCAGGCTCCAAAAGCCAAATTTGTCATCACTCTAAAGGCTGGCTTGTCGCCTGCCTTCCTCTTCTGTCAGTTGCTGATACTGCTCCAGTGTGCAGCTTTTTCTTGCTGCTGGCTCTTACACAAGGCTATGGAGACCAGATGTGCCTTCATCCTCCTCATGAGATTTGTGAGGCTGCCAAAACTCCACGTCCTGCATGAGGAAAAGACACTGAGGCTTTGACATGGGACTTTCACAACCTGTGGGCCAAATGGAGTTTCTTTGGTTTGGCTTACCAGCAAATTCAACATCATACCTGTTTATTTGGTTCAGCTAAACCTATCCTCTAGGTGACACCAATCTGGCTTTGATGCCTTTCATGAGTTTGTAGAGCCTAGGACCCGCTCTGAGCAGCCTGAAATGCCATCACCCTTGTGCAGCCTGTTTTTTTGGGAAGAGATGCATGTGATGAGCAGCATGGTTGGAGCATCCTGCAGCACAGTGCCCTGTTCTGTTACAGGAAGGAAATATGGCTCTGTCCTGCACTCAGGAGGAATCTGCAGTACAAGTTTGCAAATTTAATCAGAGGTGGTGGAAGCAGGATTGGCCTGCGATATGTGTTTCTCTCCCTAAAATATCTCCCTATTCCCACGTAACTGCTGCTGTGAGGGGTTAAATCACACTCCCGCCTGCCGTGGGTGCGCTGAACACTCCAAGAGCTTCCTTCCCTAAATGCTGTGTTGGGCCACATCCAAACTTGGCCAAAGCCAGTTGGATGCCGTCCTTGGTGCAGCTCCCTGGTGAGTCACGCTTCGACCCGCTTTGGGCTGGCTGCTCCTCTACATCTGCCCTGTGCTGGGCTTCCACACCTAAGGGCACATTTGGGAAGTGCAGCCTCTGCTTAGGTGTGCTCTGGAACACGCGTGAATAACTGATCCGCTCCTGCCACGGGACACACGTGTCCCTGCGGAGTGCAGCCCCACGGCCGCTTCGTGGCGTCCGCAGAAGGACAGCGGGGGCTGCAGGGATGCGCCCAGGCCCTGGTGTTCCCGCAGGCCGTGCGGATTTACGGGAAGGAGTTTTGGGAGCGCGGGGAGCGAGCGCCGGGCGCGGTCCCTTTAAGAGGGGCAGCGCGGGGGGGGCGGCGGCGCCCGCGTTCACACCTGGAGTGGGAAAGGGGGGCGGGCCCTGGCGCTCGTGATTGACGGGCCACACCCACCAATGGGACGGCGCGGCGCCGCGGCCGGGGGGGCTCCTGGCCAATGGCGGCGCGGCGGGGGCCGCCCGGCAGCCAATGGGCGGGCACGCGAGGGGCGGCGCGGCTACATGTTGCGGTGTCGCCAACGTGGGTCCGCGGCGAGCGGCGCTCGGGCCGGGCGGCAGCGGCTCCGACCCCGCGGGAGCGCACCGGGACCGGCCGGAGCCCGCCGAGCCCGAACCGAGCGGCGCGGAGCAGGAAGAGCAGGAGGCGCTTCCCGCGGCGGGGACGCGGACTCGACCCGCCCGGCAGTGCCCGGTGGATGCCGGTGCCGTAGCGCCCCGCGGGGCCGGCGGCCGAGGCGATGCTGCGGGCGGCGGAGCGGCGCTGAGCGGCCGCGGAGTGAGCGCTCCTGCCGCCTCCTCCCGGCGCGGACGTTCCCCGGTGCCGGATACAAAATGGCGCTGCCGTCACGGGCGGCGGCGGCGCTGCTGCTGCTGGGGCTGCTGGGCTCGGGCGCCGCCGGCTGCCCCGCGGGCTGTGCCTGCGGCGGGGACGCGCTGAGCTGCGGCGGGCTGGCACTGCCCGCCCTGCCCCGGGACCTGCCCCGCTGGCCGCGGCACCTGTGAGTACCGGGGAACCCGCGGGGACGGGCCGGGGGTGCGCTAAGGGCTTCGGGCAGCCGCACCGGCGCTCTTTGGCTTGTTGTCAAGCGCAGGGAAACTTGAAACAAAAATCCCCGCGAAACTCCGGTCTATTTATTTAAGTGAAGTGGCCGCTACCGCCTTGCAGGCGCGGGGCTGCGCCGTGCGAACCTTGTCCCGGGAGCCGGTGTCCCCTCTGGCGCCCACCCGGTGCGGGGATGGGGGTGATGGAGGCGGCGGGTGCGATGCTCGTCCCGGGTGAAAAGTTGGGGCTCGGCGCTCCCCCATCTCGGTCCCATGCAGGGCTGGCCTCCGGGTGTCCCGGAGAAAAGGGAGCCTGGGATCTGCTGGAGATAACGGCCAGCTTGGGCTTCCGAATCCTTATTAGGACATCGTCCGTCCGTCCATCCATCCATCCATTTAGCCGTCCGTCCATCCGCGCGGTCCCGGGGCCGCGGAGCGGGGCGCGCCCGGCACCCGAATCCGGACCCCAAAGCCGCGCCCGCTCTTCTGGCTTTTAATGCTGCCAACTTTTTAGGCTGTGAACTTCGGGGAATCTAAAGGGAGTCAAGGGCTTTTGGGGAGTTTCGGTAAAGTCCAGGTGTTTTCCAGTAAAGGCTGGCTGCTCTCCCTCAGTAGTTGCGTGTGTAGCGCAGTTCCTAAGCTGCGGTGTATATGGTGTGTCCTGGGGGGCAGCTGAGCTTACAGCCCCGCACCTGGTGGTTGCTGCAGCACCGTGGGATGCTTTTTTGTCCCTTGAAGGGTGTTTTAAAGTGCTCAGGTTCGTGTCCAAGCGCAGGACGGTGTCAGTGCCATTTCCCGGGAAGTGCAGCGGGTCCGCTCCCGTTGTGTGACCGCTGCTCTGGGCTCTGAAATAAAGAATAAGCTGAAATAAAACATCAGTCACTTGAAACTCAGGAGATTCGGGGGGGCAAGTGTGCTCAGCATTGACAGTTCGAGTCGTTTAACAGGCCAGGAGGACTGAGAGTATGTGTGTGCGCTCACAAACTTGTAAAAATAAGTGTCCTGAGTTATTAGTTAACTTCGGGAAATCAGTATCCAGAAAGGGAGAGGGAAATAGCGCTTCTGTTGTGGGGCCTTTCTGCTGTTTGAACAGATTCTTAGATTATCAAATCTGTAAAACCCCTGGATGTAATAGATACTCCTCAGCTCTGCCAGGAGAGAGGATGGTCACTGAAGTGTTGCTGGAGACAATCCAGCTCCTTATTAAGAAGAATTATTAGAGATTTGTCGGGTCCTCCTGATGGTGGTGTTCACTTTTAGCTGCAGAAATGCCTTGTTTTACATGAAATTATCGTGTCTCGTAGAGAGGAGTGTGTGGCCTCTGCATTAAAGCCCTGACTCATCCCATTCACCTGTTGCTCTGAAGGATCTTTCCCTCACCTTTCAGAGCAAGCTTTTAATATTTCCAGCATTCCCATGCACCTCTTAAAACAAGACAGTGTATCTTTGTTTGGGCAAGAAAGTGCGTTAATAACCCAGACAGAACAAATTTAGTATGGTGTGGTTTTTCCCGGAGTTCTAATACCCAGGGGTGTCTTTTTAAAATGCAGCAGGTTTTGGTGTGTCTTGTGTTCAATTCCAATTTTATTGGTGAAGTAGGAGCATGAATAAATCTTCCGCTATGGACCCATGGGCTGTTGATCTTTTATACACGTAGAATACTGTTTTTAACTTTGTATGTTACAAGTAACCAGTGGTTGGTTAAAATGATTGCTTTTGTATCTGAAAATACAACATTTAAGGCTTTTTCCTTCTCCATTGCTAGTGTAAAAAGATGTTGAAGCTATTGCAAATACTTTTGTTTTTAGAGTAATGCTGTTTCTAATTACTAAAAATTACTTTAAATTACCTATTTCAGTTTAGGAGCACAAGGATGAAGCATGCTTTTCAGGCTTAGTGGCATCCTAAATGTTCCTTTTTTGTGCAGAGAGTTGATAACTCACTTTAGTGGTTTAATGTTCTCTAGAAAAGCACCGTGCGCTAGCGGAAAGTTACCTCTGTGCAAGTATCTCTGTTACTTTTTGGATTGATTGATTTATTTTAACGTGCCCTTTTAAAGAAAAAGAAGGCAAATATGAAGGTGTGCAGTGGTCCGTGGCTGGTGGGGGTTCTGCAGCCATAAAATGGAGAGAGACAGGCGATGCTGGAGCTGAGCATCCCTCGCCTCCATCCCTGCCGGGCAGGCTGTGTCCCGCCGGAGGTGTCTGCTCCCCGCGGTGATAAGCTCGGGCATGTTCGATCGCTAATAGGAGACGAGATAAATCCAGTTTCCAGAGGCTCTGGTGGCAGTGCTTTAACTTCATTAAGGCTCTGTTGAACAATCCCTCCTTAGCAGTTTATCTTTATTCCTAACGAGTGCCACAATGCTGAGGCAGTGCTTGGAGTCGGTTTTCAGTGTGTTGGAGATAAAGCTTTTGTTTGTCGGGTTGGAAATGCGGCTCGGCAGCCGGGGAGGGTTCTGGAACAGACTTAATCACGCCGCGTATTTTGTCAACAGGACTATCAGTACCGAGGAAAAGCACTGGGGCTTTTTGAAACTATTGTTATTTCTCTGCTGGCAGCAGAACTCGGAGTTGTAATTTTTCTCCAAGCATTCAGAAGGAATAGCTGATAAACAGAGGGGCTGTAGTCGCTCACATTTAATGTAGTGTGGCATGGATATTTTTCAGGGTTTTTTTTGTTTGTTTGGCGCTTTTTTGTTATGTTTTTCATAAAAGCAACAGGCAGCTCAGCACTGTGTACCAGTTATATAAGTGTTCTTGACTTTCTGCACAGGGCACGTTGCAACACTGCCATGACCCATCCCGTCCTCGCACCAGCTGCAGCTGGGAAGGGTTCCTGATCCAAGGGGAAAGCCGGGAGAGTCAAACTCTGCTGGGCAGCTGATGTGTACGGAGCTCCTTTGGAGCTGCTGGAAGTGCTTCGTGTCTTGTGGTGTTTTAAGTCTAAAGTTTGGTTTTTACCGTATAATGTTAAGTGTGGCATAAAGTTTAGGGCTGAGCTTAAGTGCAGAATGCCTCGTGCCCCCCAAAAAAACCAGGGCTCCAGCAGTGTTAGTGATGTGTCACATCCCCTGCGACCTCTGCTTCTGTCTCTCCCAAAAATCTTAATTTTTGAGGAGTGACAGAAGTGTTATTTTCTTTAGGAATCATGTGTGACTGAGGGTTTTTTCCTATTTAGTGATAAAGCAACAGTATTTTAGGCACAGCTTTTGGTGAGAAGATTTAGGGACAGTGAGGCTGTGGTAGGGTAATTAATTCATTGCTAGCATGGTCTGCAGAAAAGGAAGTTTTTATTTTAAACAGAAGTATTGTACATTTTTGACCCAAATGATTAGGGGACATTTTGGGGGGGTACAGACCATTCGTGCATGGACCCTTCTGCCTCTGGGTCAGTGTGCATGTGCCTGGCACATCTGGGAAAAGGCAGAGCTGGGCTAAGAGCTGCTCCCTGTTTCCCAGGGAGGCTCTAGGGTTTGGTATATGGATAAGTTGCCCCGAGGCACCAGCTGTGTGCGTGTTGGCTCTTTGCACGGTGCTGCTGCTCTCTGGAGAGATCAAGGCAAAGTGTCTGAATGCTTTTTAAAGTCCTGTGGGTGCCTGTCAGTGGTTTCAGGGTCTGGAAGTGCATTTGAACTAGGAGTCAGGAGCAATCTCTTTCTGTGCTCAAGTGTATACACACAGATTTTGTTCAATGAAACTTAATGTTTGTGTTCAAAATTACCTATAAATGTCTTGCCAAACTGGGGTTTTCATATGCCAGATCCTGTTGCTTTGCTTCTTTCACATGTTAGGGTAGATTCTTTGCTTGCTAAGGGGCTCTGCTGATTGGATGGGGTTTTTTTGGGAGAAGGGCATTGCTCTCTGGCTCTGGAGTAAGTCTGCTCCTGCAGATGCTGGAAGAGGAGGTGGTGTGGGGGACTCTCCTGCTGACAGGAGGCGGGGGGGTGCTGCTGGCAGTACCTCTCCTGCATGTCCTGCTTCCAGGCCTGCTGAAATAATGGAACAAAGATTAAGTAATGGTCACCCTGGGCTCCTGGCCCCGCGCAGCTGTGGAGCTCCCAGCGTGTGCCGGCTGCCCGGGGGGGGGCTGCAGCCCTTGGAAAGATGGCCTGGGACAGGGATGTGGCTTGGTGCAGGATGGCAGGTCCCTCCCTCCTCCTGGGGCAGCAGTGGAAACCCGAAAATGCGCTGCGAAGCCAGCGGCTCCCTGCTGGATGGGGCTCCAAGGAGCTTTTCCTGCTCAGGTGGGACAGCGCTGGGAGCTGGTGGCAGTTCTTGTGATAGAACTGCGTGCCCTGCAGTGCCACACGGATCTGGTGCTCGCTGCAGCGCTGTCCTTGCCGGTGGCCCTGCTCCGGACAGTCCCCAGCGCCAGGGCTGCAGGACGGCTCCGCACCCTGCAGTTCCTGCGCTGGAGCCTGGCCCCGGTGGGGAACAGCAGAGCCCCTCCTTGCAGAGCACTGCCTCTCCGGGCCTGCTGCTTAAGCATAAATAAATACATGTGCTTGCAAGTAAATCCACCCTTCCTGTGCGAACATGTGTCGGTGGATTCGCTGACCACCCTCAGCACGCCGCAGTATTTATTTATCAGCTCCTACAGGAGGGCAGCAGTTAACAGCAAGCCCTCTGCATCTGCTGTCTGAGCTTCTCATCTCCATCCCGCACTGAGCCGCAGCCGGGGCACAAACTGGCTCATCGGACTAGGATTAAAAGTAAAAACGAGGCTGATAACAAAGGAAAAAATACCCCCACTTAAGAAACCCTTCTGGCTCTCTCGCAGAAGCCCCTGGCTTCTCGCGAAAGGCTCTAGGACCCCCTCAGCCTCCTCTGCATATTCCTCCCTCCTTTTGAGAAACGTCACGGCATTTAATCACTTGGAGACTTTTCCTCTCTGCAGCGACTGCAATTTGAAACGCAGGGGTCCCATACAAAAGAAGCAAGTGCTCAATGGGCTG